CACAATTAAATTTTATCCATGAATTCAGATGTGATAGTGAGTCACAGCTGTGCTACTAATATTAAATCAAAGCTAAAAAAAATCAATCACACTAGCAACTTTTAACTCACATAATTAAATGCAAAAAATGTATTCAGTTTATTACTTATCATGTTGTAATTAATACTCACCATAGCAATAGTAATAGTAGTAGTCATAATTTTTCAATTATATCAACGAGCAACAGAAACATTGTAATGGAAGAAATCTTTAAAAAGTTTAAGCTTTACTGGTAAAAGGTTATTACTATTACGTCATGGTTAGTCTTTAAAATTATAATGGTAATAGTATTAGTAATGCAATTAAATTATTTTCGTAATTGCTTAATAATTTCCAGGTTTTCCGCCTCCGCGTTTCGGACGGCCCTGTGACCTGTGGCGGTAGTGTACCGCGGTATCTTGCATTTTAGTGAATATCACTTTTAAAGTTTTTGAATATTCCACTAATTTAATTGTGTTGGTGATTTGACAAACGGAAAATCTAATAGTAGTAGCTTAATAAAAAAACTAATTTCGAGTAGTTAATGGAAAAGAAAATAAAATCTTTTTTGGGAAATCAAACCGCCAGGCAATAATAAGATAGTAATAGCCAATCAGACTACAGACTTGCTGAATTTATGAAAAAATTTCTTGACATTTTTACCCAACGTTTTGGGTATTCCAATATTTGGAAATATTTGGAATTCCCATTAGAGATTAGCTTATTCCTGTAGAATTACCAAGATTTCAATTAACTGATGAGATACCAACATGATAGTGAGTTGTTAGTATTAATATGGATTCGTACCACTTCAAAGTTGGAAAGCTATTATTATCTAATAATATTGCTATTTTTAAACATAATTAGTAAAAAATGATAATCAGATCACTGCTGTTAAAGTTATAGCTAAAGTAAATCCCAAAGGCTATTTATGTAGTTGGCTAAGTGAAGAATAATTTTTTTGATTGCAACGAACAAATAATTTAAAATTTAGGGGAAAATACAATGAAAATATCATATTAAACTTGGTAATAGTAAAGCAATTGTTATTTTTTCTATTGAAATAGTTCACTACATTAACTTATGAAAAATGTAAAATTTATCCACCACATACGAATACAAGCTTTTACTTGTCCAAAAGAGGTATATTGTGCGTTTATTATTAAACGTCTTATAGTTTATAGAGACTATAAAATAGGCAGCGTACTCGTGTTAGTTATTAACAAGACAGCTTTATTGAAATATGTTACAGAGTGGCAAATTATTTGTACGCATTATCAGATTGACATTCAAAGCATAAAATAATTATAATACGTTGTGTATTCCTCATTTTTTTATCAAGTGCCAATGATTTATTGATACTCTCGAACAATACTCATTATGCTATTAAACTTAATATGTACTTTATATTAATCTTTTTTCAAACTTGCTGTTTTTAATTAGTTACTAAACGCTCATTTTTTTTAACCAGCAATATCTTGTACAAATTGACAGGATGTGTTAGACATTATTCTATTAAAAACACAAATTGGTTACTTATATTAAGTATAGCATCCACATGATAAATGTTTGTAAGACGTTTTCTTGGTCGATGTCAGGCTAAACACATGAGTAAAGACCAATTATTTAATTATAATGCAGGTGCAGTCCACCATTTATCCTGCATGTAAAGCATTCAAACTAAGTTATTGGTTTCTTTCTGCAATGACGTAATTGTAAAAAATTTTAATAGTCAGATGCTTGCAATCAATACACAGTTTCGTGGAAAGAGAAAATTTAGTTCAAAAAATTTTTCTGATAGGGACCGACATATTGAAATGTCATGAGAATCGTAACCACGTTCGTTTGCACAACGCTACAATGCTCTGATATTAATTAGTTACACTGAGTCGCGTAATATATGTATAATAACAAACACAATGATATATCGATTACATACACTGTAAAATTAGACTTATCACAAAGATATCTATCGTACTTTTTTTGCCACTCCCAATTCGAAGTAATCATTTTTCTGAGTAATTACTGTTGCTCTTAAAACAATTCCTCCATGATGTCTTTGAACACTTGTCGTGGCGTTGCAGTTTTTGCGAACGAAAAATTTAGCACAGAATAGCTATTCACTGTCATCTTTTTTATAAATCACGTTTTAACTGTCTTACTACTACCACTACCACCACCATTACTACTGTAAGCAGCTTTAGCAGACAGGTAATAGTAAGCAAACATCGTATGATTTATTTCTTCGGCCACCTGCATTAAATCATGTGACAGACCGCACGTGCATGGAATTTGAAACTTTTTTTGTGGCGCCATTACGTTGTTTGCAGAATAAGATAACCTGATATATTCACCAAGCTTAGTAAAACAGAAGCCACAGGGAAATCTCCGTCGTTGATCCGCTGCAAAAAGCTTAAATAGATAAAACAGTTCTCCTTTTTTTTTTTCCCTCTGCATATCGCATTCACTTGTTTCCCTGTGTTACTGCGAGAGGCATATGCATTGCTTTGGTAGGGAGATCACGTGAGAATAATCGAGTGCATACTAATACGGCGTAAAACGGTTCCGATTATATTAATATTAATATGCTTCATTGCAACGAACAGAACAAAAAAAAAGACTGCATATTTAGTTTAATTAATTATTTATTTTCAATAAGCATGTTATATTATTACCTATTAAGTCGGGCATGTCAAACATTCTTATTGATTTCCCTGCCTGGTTAAGGATGCTAAATCTTGAACCCCCCTGAAAAATCTGTGTCCGAGTGACACGAGATTGCTTTTTCACACTTATCTTTTTTTTTTTTTTTTGCGGCCAAATGAAAAAATATTGATATGTTAACTAATTCAGATAACAAGGAACTCGCGAATGATGACGATATCAAACCATTTTAATTGGAGCAAGTGCAGATCTTATTCTTACCAACAGTAGCAAAAGGTGAACCCGATCTAAATTAGTTGATCTTGGACATTATGATCATTGACAAATATTTTCCAATTCTAATGAAGAATCATAGGACATATAGCGCGATACGTTGAGATTGGTGTTATATTAGTATCAGAACCGTTAATACATACGCATACATTACGTTCTCCCAAGACTATTATTCTGATACGTCCATGCTAGTGTATGCCGTATGGGGTAGTACAACATTGCGCAAACAACAACAATCATCTTCATTACATGCAGAGTGAACGGCTCCAAGTGGGCGATACATTTGAACAGTTTTATTCGCTGATACATGTCTTTTATATATGCGTTTGATATTATCATATGATGGGCAAAAGCAAGATGAGGTGGAACATGTGATAAAAGACGGGAATGTAAAAATGAGAAGAAATGAAAGGATACACCCTCCCCTCCCCTCAGTGTTAGTGAGTGCCGTGCCGTACAGAATTTACTGGAATATATTACCAATTTACTGTGTTACAATATAGCTATAATTGATTGATCGTCGATCGTATAGTCTGTCAACTAGACTGATTTCAGTGGGTACTAATCAGAGAGGACCAATCAGAGAGAAAAAGGTTTATTCCATATTTAACAAGTGTTCTGTACAGATGTAGGACGGGGGAAGGGGAGTGCTATACACATGTGGAGAAGAATGCAACACACAGTAGGTAATAAATATCAGTTAGCATGTCATTGATGTCTCTGGCATGTTAATTATCACAACCACATACATTTATAGGCTCGTCACATTACATTATTACACATCTGCACATATGATTCTCTTCTACATCCACACAGACACATATGACCCTCTTCTTTTCCTCACATATTCGACAATAATGCTATGTTGCCCTGAGAGACCAAACGTCTGTAAACCATGTACGAAAATCACCAATCACTCGATTTCCAAATGTATCTTTTCAGCTGTGTGCATTTTGTGATAAATTACGCGGTAACATGTATCAATTAGCACAGGGTAGTACGTTCTCATAGTAGATGATAAGTTTATACAATTAGGGAGGGGAAAGAGGTGGGGGAGGTGATACGTGTGATGTATGTGATGAATGGATGATGGATGGAGAATTGCAAAGATTGATTAGCGCTTGAATGGAATGATCATTACCTAAATGCCCTCCTTTTCAATCTCCCCCCACTCTTGACCTTTTTTAACCCTAAACCTGACCTGACCTGACCATAACCCCAACCACAACAAACTAACTACTACGCGCAGCACAGCACAACACAACACAACACAACACAACACAACACAACCATATCTCAACAATAATAACAACAACTGCACGCTTCATCAGATTGGTAATTGTTTGTCCAATAGTACAATATGATGCAATATAATATGTATAAATCGAGCTATACTTGTGACAGTGTATTGGCTTGTATAATTTATTTGTTTTAAATTACCTTTGTTTATTAATATGTACTTGACTTTTTATACGTTACCTATTGTTACCTATTGTATACACTATCCAGTTTGTTTATTTATACATCTTATCATATGCTTCTCCATAATATATCCAATGTGCCTATTTGCTATTTGCTAATTGCTGCTGGCTGACCTAACCCCTCTGTCGTATCCAATCATCACGAAAACAATCCTACCCTTCCCTCTCCATTATCCATCAAACACACCCCAAACAGTGTTGTCCATTGGGCGCTATCTGACCCCAGACGAGTAAACGATGCGCGTATCACAAAAGAAATTTAAAGACTCCCTGCCCACCCTCCCACTCTTCTCTTCACCCTTTCATCCTTGTCTTTTCTCCTCGTCATATATCTCAGGCTCCACTCTATAAACCCAAACCCCAAACAACACCAAATACTTTAATTTTTTGTCTCCAAGAGTAAGTTATCATTCTTTCTTTATACATCTCATTCAAAAAAAAAATTTTATCTCATGCGTATATATTATTCACCCAATCAGTTCCATTACACCCCTCTTCCCACCTTTCTCATCTCCAGAATATTCCTTTCACCCGTAACTCATTCATATCTTTAATACAGTGGTCATGAGAGAAATCGTACATCTTCAAACTGGTCAGTGCGGCAACCAGATCGGTGCTAAATTCTGGGAAGTCATCTCCGACGAACACGGCATCGACTACTCGGGTTCTTATACTGGCGACTCCGACCTCCAACTCGAACGTATAAACGTATACTACAACGAAGCTGCCGGTGGCAAATATGTTCCCCGCGCCGTTCTCGTCGACTTGGAACCTGGTACCATGGATTCCGTCCGTGCTGGTCCCTTTGGTCAACTGTTCCGTCCTGATAACTTTGTATTCGGTCAGAGTGGTGCTGGTAACAACTGGGCGAAAGGTCATTACACAGAAGGTGCTGAATTGGTAGACTCCGTATTGGATGTCGTGAGAAAAGAAGCCGAAGGTTGTGATTGTTTGCAAGGTTTTCAAATCACTCACTCCCTCGGTGGTGGTACCGGTGCTGGTATGGGTACTCTTCTCATCTCGAAGATTAGGGAAGAGTATCCTGACCGCATGATGTGTACCTTCTCCGTTGTACCCTCTCCAAAGGTAAAAATCATAAAAAATTACGCGTTAACCGTTTTCAAACGCGTCTTGCTTAACCATACTTTACGCGTCTTGGTTGACATCCGGCCCCTTACACGTTACCAGTCCTTTCAGATTACACGTTTGACGTTAGCTCGTTCGTACGCTTATTTAACGGTCTTTCTATACATGTTAATATAGGTTTCAGATACCGTCGTAGAACCATACAATGCCACGCTTTCTGTTCATCAGCTCGTTGAAAACTCTGATGAAACATTCTGTATTGACAACGAGGCCTTGTACGATATCTGTTTCCGTACATTGAAACTCAGTACTCCTACTTACGGTGACTTGAATCATCTTGTATCTGCTGTGATGAGTGGTATTACAACATGTTTACGATTCCCTGGTCAATTGAATGCTGACTTGAGGAAATTGGCTGTGAATATGGGTAAGTTTTTGTTTGATAGTTTGGATGGTTTCAAAGTTTCATAACGCAGGTCACAGCGTTTTACTTACCGTTATCGTTTTATCTAGTACCTTTCCCGCGTCTTCACTTCTTCATGGTTGGTTTTGCTCCATTGACCTCTCGAGGATCAACAGCTTACCGGGCCCTGAGTGTTCCTGAATTGACACAACAAATGTTCGATGCCAAGAACATGATGGCTGCTTCTGATCCTCGTCATGGTCGTTATCTCACCGTCGCGGCCATGTTCCGTGGTCGCTGCTCCATGAAGGAGGTTGATGATCAAATGCTTGCTGTGCAGACAAAGAACAGCTCATACTTTGTCGAATGGATTCCAAACAACGTCAAGAGTAAGCAATTTACAATGTTTTCTTTTGCAACTAAAATGTTATACTTTACTTGACTAACGCTCATTAATCATTGTCGAATAATTTAGCTGCTGTGTGTGATATTCCACCAAAGGGTCTCAAGATGTCAGTTACATTCATTGGAAATTCAACTTCCATCCAAGAGTTGTTCAAACGCATTAGCGACCAATTCACGGCTATGTTCCGACGTAAGGCTTTCTTGCATTGGTACACAGGAGAGGGCATGGATGAAATGGAATTCACTGAAGCAGAGTCCAACATGAACGATTTAGTATCAGAGTAAGTGTTATTCAGCGGATGTATATGATCAATGGTGTCAAATCATAATTTTGATTATGGTGCTCATTTATTTGCTTTCTGTTTACAGGTATCAACAGTATCAAGAAGCTACTGCTGAGGAAGATGACGGAGATGAATACGAAGAAGATATCGATCAGGAAGAGGCTTAAGTTATATAAATATATATGTACTATCCTCATATATTCTTTATACATATTATACCAATTTAATACATTTCGCTTCATCTCCAATCACTTATAATACTTTTATACAAAAGCAAAAAAATTCCAAGACATCTCTAAAAATAGCTATTCAAAAGCTTGCATGCGTCCTTTTTGTTTAGTTTGTTATTTCATTTACTTTGTACTCTAGTTGGAGTGAAAGACAATAAACTTTTTACAACGTCAGGAAATCATTTCGAACCGGTAAATGCAACGCATACATTGTGCGCGTGACTCAGTTAATTGTGTCTTGGAACGTAAGCAAAAACATTGACAAAGGCGTAATTAATATGATATAATAATCCAACGTTTATTATGTCGTACGTTCATGTGTAAATTAGTGAAGGTCTAAAAATGTACAAATACCTATGGCCAAAAAGAAGACAAACCCGACTCACAACCGACTCTCTATTACAACATTCTCTGTCCTCCAATCATCAAACGCAGCTTCTAACACATCCCAAACCTTCTTCACGTATACTACTTTGATCTCTTCTTTAATATTCACCGGAACATCTCCCTCAACATCTTTCATATTCCTCAAAGGTAGAATAATCCGCGTAATACCAGCCCTATGCGCAGCGATAATCTTCTCTTTGATTCCTCCTACCGGAAGGACCTGCCCACGGAGAGTGATTTCTCCTGTCATAGCAGTGGTTGTGGGCACTGTTCTCTTCGTAAAGAGGGAAACCAGTGCAGTGAGAAGGGCAATGCCGGCAGATGGACCATCTTTAGGGACCGCGCCCGACGGAAAATGGATATGAACGTCGCGTTCCGAAAAAAAGGAAAACTCGGTTGAGGCGGATATGATTCCCAATTTATACGCATTAGCGCGAACCCAAGATAGTGCTATTTGGGCAGACTCTTTAATTACTTCACCCAATTTACCTGGCAAACAAAAGTAAAAAGCGCAACCCGTTATGTTAGAAGACAGTGTTCCTGAAGAACACAAGCAACACACGACAGCTAGTTCGGAACTAAATTACCTGTAAGCTGGAGATTACCCTTTCCAGCCATCTGCGTGGCTTCTATAAACAGAATACCACCAGCCCCGGACGCTGTCCAAGCAAGCCCAGTTACAACACCTGGCAGTGATGTCCGTTCGGCCACCTCGTCATCGTATTTTGCTACCTATTGAATGGGCGTGTGTGGTTTTTTGGCGTCAATTAGTAGGTTTTCATCAACATTGTCACGTTTGTGGTGTAACACGTATTATCAAACGATACTTTCACTCTCAATCGTTTTCTCAAATCAACTTACTCCAAGAATCTCTTCTATATCTTTCTTGGAAACATCTGCTCGATAAGCTGCTAATTCTCCGTTATCCCTTGCATCTGCATATTCAACAGCTTTTGCCCTACAAATACTAGCAATTTCTCTCTCAAAATTTCTCACTCCTGCCTCTCTAGTATAGCCCGTGGCAATAACGAGTAACAGTTCATTTGAGATTTTAACGTCTCCTGGTGCCATCCCATGCGCTTTTATCTGTTTTGGAAGCAAATGTCTCTGAGCAATGTTCACTTTTTCGTCAAATGTGTATCCGGACAATGAGATAAGTTCCATACGATCCAGCAATGGTGGTGATATGGAGTCGAGATGATTGGCCGTAGCAATGAAAAGAACTTTGGAGAGATCGAGCGGAACGTTGAGATAATGATCGTTGAAGCTGTTGTTCTGCTCTGGATCGAGGACCTCGAGAAGCGCAGCTGAGGGGTCACCATGATGGCTTAAATGACCGACTTTGTCAATTTCGTCTTTTTGAGAAATTGGAGGATAAATTATAGCAAAAATTGTTTGACAGTAAATAACCCGCAACTGATAACGTTTCTGTTTCCGTATCAAGTTGACGTTGACCAGATACCATATAATTTGCACCTAATACATACCCAATAAAAACACTGGATTATTAACGCCGACCCTTTTTAATCCCTGTGCGATCAATCCTGGCATGGCTCCGATATAAGTCCGTCTGTGCCCTCTAATTTCTGCCTCGTCTCTTACTCCACCCAAAGAAATTCTGTGAAACTTTCTCCCGAGCGCGTTTGCAATGCTTTTCCCCAAAGACGTCTTTCCTACACCCGGAGCACCTATCAGGACTAATATTGGTCCCTTCATGTCCTCTTTTAGTTTTAGCACTGCCAAGTATTCTAAGACGCGTTTTTTTACTGTTTCCAAGCCATAATGGTCATCATTTAGTTGCTTTTCAGCAATTTTAATATCGAGAATATCCGTCGTTGACTTATTCCATGGGATTTCACTCAACCATTCCAGGTATGTTCGAACTATTTGGTATTCGGCTTGAGTTGGATGCATACGTTTCAAACGTTTGAGTTCACGCTGTGCTGCTTTATCGGCTGTGTGTAATGAGCAACATGAGTAAAGTCGACGATAAAACAATGAATTATTCAGGGGGAGGGGAGGGTTTACCTTCGGGTGAGAGATTTGCTTCCTCTAGTCGTTTTGTCAGATCAACAACATCGTCGTCCTCGTTCGACGAGTCATCTTTCTCACCAAGCTCCTCTTTGATTGCATTAAGCTGTTGATCGATTAATTTATTTCGTGAGCGCTCATAACTTGCATGCTGAGTTTCGGAAGTGTAGATTGTCACTTACTTGTTGCCTCAAGTAGAACTCTCTCTGTTTCTTATTTAGTTGTCCTTCGACGGTAGACTGAACCTTTTGCGATATTTTCAAAATCTTTTAAAGACCAAATTATGGTATTGAGATTAGCATAGAGTTGAACAATGTAATAATGTTGTTTCCAATACTAATTGACAGTAAAAATGATGAAATTCATACACCGCTTTATCGAATATCAAGATGCTCCTTAAATTGTACTTTCGGATCGCTTCGCAATAATGTTTGAGCCAAATACAGGTTTATACCCGTATTTAACGTACCTGTATTTGTCTCGTTAACATGTCAATTGCTCGCAACATTCGCGTCTTTAAATCAACAGCATCAAGAATCTGTAACTTTTCCTCGAATGTAGAATCAATTGCCGTGACTAGAAGATCGGCTAATGAACCTGCATGCGCCTTCTCTATAAATTTCTGAAGCTGAGTTAGGACAGGCGTTGGAAGTTTCAGATCATGCAAAGTAGTCAAAAGTTTGCGGCCAGTAGATCTTAGAGTTATGGCTAATTCCTGGAGTTCTTGATCGCCTTGCGAAAGTTCTATGAATGATCAAAGTATAAGTTAAGACTCGGGAATAAAGAACCCACCTATAATTGTTCTTATAGAGCGTATGGTTGAAATTTACCTGGTTCGGACATTACAGTGACTTCTGCTTCCAAGTAAGGATTTTCAGACACATACTTATCTACCTTGATCCGTGCAATACCTAGATTGACAGTATACACGGCGTTCAATTCCTCATTCTCTATTCGGTCGCTGGCATGCCCGACTCACACCCTATACGTACCTTCCACAACAGCTACAAACCCCTCACCTACGGTCCTCTCAAGTCTAACAATTCGCGCCGCACAACCAAAAGGATGTAAATCTCCTGGTCGTGTTTTCTGGTTGAACAGTGCGTCTATTACTTTTGCTGGTGAAGTCAAATTTTTGGAACGAATTGGGGGAGCTATTATGTCAACTCTCGATGAGTTCTTTTCAGTATCGCCTTCGACCGTACTTTGCGGTGGACTAATAGGGACACATCCAATTACATTTTTAATCTCTTGGCTATCCGGTGATTTGTATATTTTTTGCATTAGCGAGATTGTCTCTTTTCTACTTATTACTAAGCGCATGCCTACGCCAGGGAGTATAACCTTATTTTTAAGCGGAACAATAGGGAGAACATTTGGGATCGCTGGGACGTTGACCAACATGGTTGAGATCTTGACGAAAATATGAGAGATGTGATGAATTATTTGGATTGGGGATTCTATATCGATAAATCACATGACTTTGTGAATGCTCGATAAATGAATCTTAACTTTATATACAAAAACTGGTTAACCTATTGCGTCTTCCTGACGAATATGTTGAAGTAAACCTTGCGACAGGTCGTATGTAGGATCCGCATTAGTTGGTCACATTAAGGAACTATGCTGTTTATTGCAGAAACAACCAAATGTACAAGATTTCGCCTGCGATGACGTGTACGAAAAAACGAACCAGCTCATATGCCACCGTCTTCAGCTCCAAAACTCAATCCCAGAATAAAAATCAGCAATAAAGTATCCCTTACTTTCTTTAATTGATATATGTCAATCTGGTCAGTCCATCAGCATAGAAGTACTTATTCAATATGGTCTTGAAGCATATGTGAATTGGAATATCCCACGTATAATTACCAATAGAAACAGACAGAAAGCACGGAATTTAAGCAATAATACAACCTATAGTGTCGAGACACTCGTCGTTTACGTTAAGTTTAAAGACATATTACGCAAATGCTATGCAATTATTCAAGTCTCGCAAAGACACTGTTGATTTATCTTGCTTATAGAGGATTTGCTTCCTTTAATTTATCCAGCTGTTTCGTATAAACCTCCTTTGCAGTCAAATATTTCGCTTTTTCTTCCGCGTATCTGTCCACATATGTCTTGATATAAAAAGTAATACCAGTCAGGCACGCCATAAACCACAAAATACAATATAACTGCTTACCTTCTTTTCATCATCATTCATTTCCTTCCATCTCTTACTAATAGCCGACATTCGTTGGGTGATACTTGGCTCTATAGCGAATTCGGGTTGTTTCATCATATCTACCGCAAAGTGTAAAAATCCTGAGAGTGGTTTCTTTGGTAGATTCGGATCTTTCATAGGTTTCTCCTTCTTTGCTCGTCGACGCAAATTTTCACGCGCATAATCCAGCGGGGTCAAAGACTCTAAGAATTTTTGATTTTCCTTTTCGAAATCGGCTTTCGCTTGCACAGACTTGTCTTGATAAACCTATTAGTAAAGTCATTATCGTCGAGAAATAAATACAATGTAAGCAACGCAAATACACCAAATCTTGATGTTTACCAATTTCTCGTCCTCAGGAAGAGTCTTCCATCTATTGGCAGCAAGTTTACAGATTTCTGTCACTTTCATATCGGGATTTTTTTCCTTTTCCTCTTGAAAGGTATCTTTCATAAACAGGCTGAACGCATTTCCGGGTTTCTTAGGTCCCTTCAAGGGAGGAATCTTAATTTTAGGGGTCACTGGTTTCTTCTTGACAGGTTTTTTCTTGATGGGCTTTGCTGCAAGCTTTTTGGTTGGTTTTTGAGTTGACTTCTTCTTTGCCGATGATGCAGTTACTTTCTTTGCAGTTGATGTCTTTGCGGTTGATCTTTTTGCAGTAGTCGTTTGTCGGCTTGACGGCCTTCCACCTGGAAATCAATAATACTTGTAAAATTAGAACACGAATATTTCGAAGGCAAAGCATCAGGCCTTTTCATAGTTATCAATTGATTGCGATCAAGTTACAAGATAACAGTATACTTACTCTTGCTAGCAGTCTTAGCTGCGGGCTTCTTCGTTACTTTAGGCTTTGCTTTCGTCTTGGAGACGGTAGCAAGCAGTTGTGCAGTATTGCTGAAAGATCGAGCAGAGGTAATTGACCATGCGATTGGACGCGCAACAGAGAGCGTCCTCGGGAGAAGTCGAAACATGTTCTGCAGTATGGTGTGCAACGGCACGCCCACAGTCGATATAAAGTGAACTATAACGAATGAATTTTATTTGTGAAGTGTTGCCGGTAGAAATAAGAACGCGTTCGCAGTAAACACTTACGGAAAGTGACTGTGCGAAAGTATGAGGATTGATAGATGACTATTTACATCTTTAATTGTAATGTTCCTGATGACGCGGGCAAACGCGATCAAATAACCCACGTTCACATGACCCTTTAACCACAGTTGTTTGATTTACGCTTGGCCTCATACGAAGTTTTTTTCAAACTTCGAATCGCCCAAGCTTTTGAATGAAGCAAGCTACGCTAGTAAAGACTAAACTTCAATATGTAGCCTACACGAAAGTAGAGGCTTTTTTCGATCTTGATTCTTAAAAAAACAGGTTTACATATGCGAACTGTAATTTTGGCTAAGCGAGTTACAGTTTATCAACTAGCCTAAGATTGATTCCCTTGCAAGCACTGGTGGGGGTTGAATACTATATCCACATGAATGATCACAGTAGACAATAAAAATGACACCTTATACAATATAATTACAACCGCTGAATACGAAGAATGATAACTTTTTTATTATATGAGAAGGTGTTTGGAAGTTCTGTAATTAGTTAATTATAATAATAAGAATCAGGTATATTAATATAAATCTAAGAGCGTCCACCGTCACATTGCTTCCAATGCCCATTTGCCTTAAATTAGACCCCTAAGTATCTATCAATTCATCTATAGATTGCTATTAAACGCGTGTTTCTAGGACAACGGCAAGTTGGAATTGTTGTAAACGTCTTCTGGCAGCAGTTTGTCCAATGTGCCGTGTTCGGCTTCTTTTTACAAGTCATGACGCGTTATACCCAGTCTAAAGGCTCGGCATGTTCTCAACGTACTAAGGTGCTCGACACTCGTCGTCTTATTCTGTTTAATCCAAATTCCTCTGTGTCATGACATCCTATTATACAACGCGCAATTCAATTACGTTTCTTACACTTGCCGTATTAGTATGTTCATTTGAAGTCATTAATTGGTGAGGTCGCGAGTATAGCGTCACCGACAACAGCATAGCCATTTCTGTAGCAGTCGACCCCCATGATAGGCCTCTTTGGCCCTAAGTGTTCAGCATAACCTCTATTTATCTATAATATTCTTTTTCTTATACCATATTCCTTAGTTATATAATTAAGATTTTCAGCTTTTTGCTGACTATAAAGTTGAGTTGTTGTTTTTTTCGATAGAGACGTTTTTGAGATGGAATCAATTTATAACACTGTCAGAATAAGATCGTGTCTTGGCCAAGACTACCGCATTACCGGGATGTCGACTTAGCACTTTTAACAACGCGCGGTTGATGGTAAAGTTTCTTCCGCCATCTAATGATGATTCAAAAATTACAATGGAATAGTGAAACAATACAACGGACGGCGATTCAATCGATAATTCGTTGCTGAAATTACAATGACTCGCGTAGCTACGCGATCCCACGTTAGCTGGCACGACAATGTTATCTAAGCTTTCCATAGTTTGAGAAAATAATCTGTGGATTCATTAAGATACCGTAATATAGGCTACATCGTTAATACTAGCCTCTAATACCGATACAACAAAAACGTCTCCATTCAAAAACTTCTTCCAGTAAAATAGTTATAAAGCAAATTAACATCAGCTTTTATTTTCACTGATCTATTGTAAATAGCTGTGTAAACAGCTTCTTCAGGATATTGTCAGCTGTGTAAATATTGTGTTCGCCTCCTGTTCTCTATAACACAGCTAAAGAAAAATTATTATCGATGAAATGCTCGAAAATCTGTCTCGTATAATAATCGAGTTCCAAGGCTTGCTACGTCACAATTTACCATGCGTGTGACACTTCCGATGACCTAAGAATCACACAATTTAAATTACCGTCAACTCTTTCCTCTTAATTATAAACAAAATGGGCACAAATCCTGTACGTATTGGTTGTTACAGGTAATTTCGCTAAGAAATTCTGTTCTAATTCGTTTTGCAAAACGATGACCGATAAAATGACTTTGCAGCGCTTTTTGGGGAGACTCTGTTACGGCGGCCGAACAGCTAGTTTCGAAAGAGAAATCCAATTTAAACTATTTGGTAGCTGATTATCTTGCCGGTAAGAATGCATGCCTCATCACTTCCATAATGCATTCAGACAATAGTCTCGGCATTGATTGTGCTGTCTCCCCCTTCGTTCACGGAATGCATTCACTATAGAGGTTACGATGGGTCTTCTGGCTCGTCGTAAAGCAAACCTCTCTCGCAATTTAAAAAGTGCTAGCAATGGCGGCTACATATCTGAATTTATCACGTTAGTTATAGCACGCCTACTGCCTGACATTCACAAGCATAATATCAAAGTGATAACCAATGCTGGAGGATTAGATCCGGTATCATGCAAATTAGCGATCGAAGCTTTGGCAGCAGACCTCAAGATTCCGATAAATGTAGCCGCAATAACGGGGGACGATCTTCTTCCGAGATTGAATGATTTGCGCGAGTCGCAATCATTAAAACCGTTCTCGCCCGTTCCGGGGAGTAGCCCTGATGCGTTACCCAAGGGTGATAAACAAGTTTTGAGTTTGAATGCTTACCTCGGGGCTATTCCCATAGCTAGAGCACTCGATGCTGGCGCACAGATTGTCGTGACAGGGCGAATAGTAGATTCCGCACTCGTTGTTGGACCATTGATTCACGAGTTCAACTGGATGGCTACTGATTACGATAAACTCGCGTCTGCGTCTCTTGCTGGACATATAATTGAGTGTGGTGCACAGGCTACTGGTGGGAATTATACAGATTGGGAGGAGGCGGCGTTCTCCCTCAATGGGGGCTATGCTAACATGGGGTATCCGATTGTCGAGTGTTATCCATCTGGAGAGTTCCTTGTGACAAAGCCAAGTGACACTGGAGGAGTCGTTAACGTCAAGAGTGTTACCGAGCAAATGTTGTACGAAGTGTTAGATCCGGCAATGTACATTCTCCCTGATGTTATTCTGGATTTGACCCGGGTGAAGGTTGAGCAGGTTGACGAGACACGAGTAAGAGTTAGTGGAGCTAGAGGCAAAATACCCACGGAATTACTGAAAGTGTCTGGTATTTACGTTGATGGATATAAGATGACGGGAGAGATTGTTGTTTGTGGTATTGATGCATGGAAGAAGGTGCGTGTAAAGAGTACTCGGATCGAGTCGAAGCATGATCGATTAGTTTGCTCTTGCCGTATTCGCGCTGTTCTGACAATCAAGTTACCATTTATATCAGTCAGTTGTAATAGCGAATGCCATTTTATCGCGCACACGTCTTTTGTTTGTAAAATATGGAATGAAAGACTTTCGCGCCACAAACATTGAACCACTCGGAGCTGAACACACTTATGGGTGACTAGGAATTTTGATTATCAAATGTAGATTTTTTTCTAGCTGAATGCTGCTGATATTTTCTTCGCTGTTTTTGTTGGTAGTCCACATGCCAGAACCAAACACACAAGGGAAGTGGTACTACGACTTACGGTCCATCACGACGACCCTCAGGCATTGAAAATATTTGCTATGGAACTTGTACCGGTAGTAGCTGTATGAGACATTGAGACGATAATGACATGATGGGAAGTTTGCTCAATGCAATCATTTATCACTTTACATTAGGCAGCAACTTCAATGGTCCCAGGAATAACTGGTAACAATTGTTATATGTCGATCTCGTCATGTGTATCGTACTTTATGATTATTCATACACTTTCGTCTCCATCGTATTCTATATCAATTCAATTGTGAACCGCTTCATCATGAACAAGGGGGCGAATCTGGCCGTCCTCACCCATCTCCTAATCTTGTTCATTTTTCTTCTCTGGTTCCAAAGGGCCTGGTTACCCCCGCTTTTACGACTACAAAAATTTCTGAAAATGTTCTTTTCACTGGACCTATGTCAAACTACCAGACATATGACGACGCTAAAGAGAGCGATGATTACAAACAA